AAAAAAAAAAAAAAAAAAAGAGGAAAATATGGACAGAATTCAGTGCTGAGACATGTAACATGCTAAATATGTGCTGAATACTAATGACTGGCAAATAACATGACCTAATTTGTTAAGATGCACCTATTACTTTCACTGATTTCAACTGTGATTGTGGGTGCTCTGCATTTCAGGGCATGGACACCTACATGTGCAGCACATTGGTATGGACACATAGATGGGATAAAGTAGCGTTAAAGTTGGAGTGGTTTTGCTGCATCTGTATTGTTCCCATGTAATGATTATAATGTAACAGCTGCTGCCCTTTTGAAATGTTCCCATTTTGAAGTAGGTCCAAATGCACGTGTCCCATACCCTTCGAAAATCAGAATTAAGGCATGGAAATAATAATTAACATGTCTGAGAGACTGCTTCACTCAATGACTGATGGAGCTATATATGGAGTGAACAATTAGTGAATACTCTAAAAACATGATTGTATCAACTAAAGATAGAAGGATGGGTAAACAGGGGAATTATCATGTTTTACCCTTTCTTTCATGCAGCCATGGATAAACTGTGGGGTGAGATGGACCATCAAGCAGAACTTAACAATATGAAGGAAGAAAAGGCTGCAACTAAAAGCATCAAATCCATGAGCATCCTGCAAGTCATGAAAGACCCATCCTTGCACTGGCAGTTGTACATTTTAGTTACTGTTGTCATAGTGATGCAGCTTTGTGGCATCAATGCAGTTAGGTATCTTCCCTACTTAAAATGTTAAGTGCTCTTCACAGGCACTAATGAGGGAGGCTCTACATAAACACCGCAGTGTGTCCCACAGGACTTCGTAGTTGGGTGAAAATCATGAGGATTTTAGCTCTATGCCTTGCTCAGCAACTCTTTCACTATACAGCTTTGAGCCTCATTGTGCCTCCATTATCTTTTCCCCGACTATAGAATGAAGTATAATAAGTACTCACCTCTCAAGCAAGAATCTTTTAAGACTAATTAATTAATGTAACCATAGTATTTCAAATCTGTAAAACACTGTAAACGTTAGGGATTATTAGGAAAGGGTATATAGGGAATATAAAGGGTAATCTTTGTGAGACTTTGCTTAAGGATATTTCTCCTGAATTATTGCTGGAGACAACCTGTGATGTCCCACTGCAGCTGATAACAGCTTTCAGGTCGTCAGGATAGCAACAGGCCAACAAGATGCTAACAGCCATCCATACTGAAGTAGTGTGTGGTTCTGTGTACTGTTACCCCAGTCTGACCCTTTGGCAGCACTTCTATGCAGCCTGAGGCTTCCCAAATGACAGTCTTCAAAAGGGAATCCCTAGTGCAGGGACAACCTGCCAAAAATTGAAAAGTCTTGGCCATGTGTACCATTCATCTTCTCTCCCACTCCTTCCTGGTTTCTCAAAAGCTGTATAAAAGCAATTCATTTGATAGCTTTAAGATATAATACTTCTGAGTTGTGCAATACAGTCAAATCATCTTTATGACAAGAGCAGCATCCAGTACTATGTTATAGCTATATACATCACTGGGTAACTGATGTGGCTCCCATTTTTTCTGTCAGTTCCTTTCCATCTGTTTCATTCTTTGCCTCCTTTATTTATATCTGCTTTTCATCCTCACCATTTTCCAAGCCCTCCTGTAGGATTAGATCTGTGCCAATGTGTCAGTGACTTCAGAGTGAAACTGTGAAGAGTGAAACCAATGTAATCCTAGGCAAGCAGGCAGGCAGTGTCCTTATGTTGTCCCATACAGTCACTCTGCTTAAGTTTTCCAATTGCTCTACCATCATTTCAGCTTCATTCATGAATGGGACCGCTACTTCCAATGAGCAGATGTCAATATAAGGACCATGACACCTAACCTAACCCATTACCAATCTGCATAATCGAGGCTACAGTGCTACCAGAAACCAGCCATTTGTGTACAGCAGTTTTATAATGGAGCTGAAAAAGGTGGTGGCAACAGGGAAAAGCAGTCAAAATAGTCCGGTGTAAACATACCCAAAAAAATCCCCATATATTAAAATCCAGATTTTCACATTAGTGGATCAGGTATTCAACCGGTGAAGGAAAAAAAAATCAGCATAACTCCACTGAAATCAGTAGACTTATTCTGATTTTCACCAGGTGAAATCTTGGCCCAATAAATGTAAATACAAGGATGATCCTTCCACACTACAGTTGAGTTTTGTTGGCAGACCAGTGTGTCGACATTTGCAGATACCAGTGCCCATGTTTTATCTATTTTGTTGATAAAAGCCAACAGTTACATTCTGGGCCTGACAAAAGATCAGATGTATCACAGATATGTAGAAATCCGTCTTATTAAGAACTCTAGCAACAGGCAAAAAGTACAGGATTGATCACTGGTAAAATATCATCGCATTTATCTGATGCCCACCTCTTTTCTCAGCAATAATATACCTCACCAGAGACTGTGGTATAAAGTGCCCCCTTTTTTTTTCTTCCATTGGATTTTATAGGTCTACTTCTACACATTTGAGGTGCTGTGCACAGCTGGGTTTGAAGAAGGCCGTATCCCATATATATCACTGGGTGTTGGACTCTGTGAACTCTTCTCCACTATACTCTGTGTAAGTCGCATCACACTGAGGGTTGCTCAGAATTTGCCATGTTTATAGTGAAGTCATTGTATGTTTTGCCCTCCAGACCTTTACCATTGAGTGGTTTGGCAGGAAGACACTCCTGTGGAAAGGCTATGCAATGATGGCTTTAGTGCTGGTTCTTCTCACAATAACTCTCTCCCTGCAGGTAAGGAAGACATTTTTAATGGGTCCTTTTGAAGATCCATTTTATTGCTGACTTTCCCATGCACAGAGAAAAGCTGTATGTTATAGAGCAAACATTTTTTGATTTCACAAAATGAAGTTTGGTCAGCATGGTGGCAGATCCAGCAAGTCCCTCTGTAACAACACTCACAGTCAGCCTCACGTGCTCCTTTGTTACAACTTCTTTCCTAGATTTCAAACTTTTTTGTTACCCTTCTTGCGATTAGTGTCCCAATCTAACTTTATCAGCTCTACCTAACCCCTTCCAACACCCTACAAGCATAAACCACAGCTTTAACTCCACACCTTTGTTTCACAAGTTCTTATGAACCTCCTCAAAGTTAATCTGTTGTGTGCCACCCAGAAAGAAGTGTCCTACATTTTCAATACCTCCATCCACAAGCAAAACTGCTCCTGTACAGTGAGAGTTATCTATGATATACCTGTGGACTCTCACACATTTAAAGCTGTGCTATTTAAGAGCTCTGTAACAGAAATCCAAGAAGCTTGCATTCCCACTGTGTTATTAGCAAACATCTGCTCTCACTGTGTTTTTCCCTCTAGAATAAATATAACTGGATGTCCTATTGCAGTGTCATTCTGATCTTCCTATTTGTTTTCTTCTTTGGAGTTGGACCATGTGAGTAAATCAATATGTACAGGAACAAACTATCCAATGGTGCATATTACCTGGGTAGAACAACATTGGACTGTGGGGAATGAAAGAGTTACATACACAGAGATCAAGTCAAATTATATAGGTGTACCCCTATAAAGGGAGGCCTTTTTACCTCAGCACATTGGGTGCCTATACACATGCTGGGGAGGAGAGGGTCTTTTAATTAGACCATTTCCCAGAGTGCACTCTAATTAAAAAGCCACACAGCATCACACGTATTAAGCCCCCATGCACTTAAAAATGGCCACGGGATGCCTTAACTAAAGCTCATACGATGAGCTTTAGTTACAGAACCCCAGCAGCCATTTTCCGGCTCGCAGGAGCTTGTGTTACACAAGATGCTGCGGCAATGCTAGAGCATTCTAATTGAAACGCATCAGAGCACATGTATATAGGCACCCATTAACACTGGAATAGAGCAGAGGTTAATGAAGAAAGGGGTTAATAAAGAAAGAAACTGGGACTGATTATTTAGCAGTGTCCCAATTAACAAAGAATATTAGATTACAATGTTTAGCAACTATAGGAGCCTATGGCCCTATGCCTTCTCAAATCAGGCCCTGAAGTTACTAAAATAATTCTGTTTTGCCTTTTCATCAGGAAATAAATGGAAAAGGGGAAAAAGGAATGCTGCTGAACTTTTTCTTCTTTGTTATTATTTATTCTTCAGGTGGAGCCACCATGTCCATCATGGTTGAAATATTCAACCAGTCATCTCGATCCTCAGCCTTTGTGATTGGAGGGTGCCTCAACTGGGTGGGACTTTTCGTGATTGGAATGATTTTCCCATTCATTGTTGTAAGTGATTTCATTCAAATCAGTTTCTCATTGTTTCCTAATTGAAGTCCCTATTGCAACTTTGGCTGGGCTCAGTAGGACAGAAATACATTTCCAATACAAGTTTCCAATCAAAGTGTTTAGAACCACCTTAAAATGTCCACTGCACTAATTTCCAAGACACAACGTCCACATTAAGGGGCAATGAAGGGAAAAGTCAAAATAAAATATACTCAATTCTCATTTTTAATTTCTGTTTCTAGGAAAGCCTCGGTCCTTTCTGCTTTCTCATATTCATGGGGGTTCTTGTTGGCTCAGGGATCTTCATCTACCTCTTCCTTCCAGAGACAAAGGGGAAGTCAGTCACAGAAATAACAGAGGAATTCACCAAGTTATATTCTGGGAACAAACTTTCTTCTATTGTGAGAAGGAACTTCCTTGAGGAACACATGTCCTACACCAGCTTCTAATGGCCAATGGAAAGACCTTTTACTATTTAAAATTGAAGATATTGATTCTTACAGACAGAAGAACAAAAGAAAGCTACACTATTCATCTGCATTATAACCTTGTTTTTTCTTCATTCACAAAGACAACATCTTTGCATGTAACGCTCATCCCTATGAAGCTCTAAAATATGATGATGTCAAGTTTAACATGCTGTGATAAATTGGTAGACTCACAGAAGTTTAGGGCTGGAAGGGACCTTGTGAGATCAAGTCTAGCCCCCTGCTCTGGGCAAGAAAGACTACTCAGGTCAAATAACCCCAACAAGGTAGACTGAAGATCTCCAGAGTAGGAGCCTGCACCCCCCCCAAATCTATTCCAGAGTCTGGTCAAACGAACCCTGAAGAAGTCACTTTACAAGTCTTTTTTTTTGCAAAAACATTTTCATTAGTCAAGATTCACATAGGTCTTCTACTCTGAATTTCACTTTGAGCTTCAGGTTAGAACTAATCCAAAATCTCAAATCAAGCTCAAGCAGAAATCAGTGAGTTTCTCAGTATAACAATTTCAAATGACTTCTCTAAAAAATTCACAACCTGCTTTATGGTCTCTCAAAAAAAGAGACCAAGTTTCTGAACTTTAAATCATTGGATAAAGATGGTCTGTCAAATCTGCAACACCACTCAGAAAGGTGAGCTTCATGTGTTCTCTCATTTAATTGCAAGCATTTCACATAGTTTTATGAGTATGTTCCAAAGTTTTGTTTTAATGATATTTAAAACATATAATCATGCTATTGGATGATGCAGAAATTTATCAATTTATTGCAGCTTTTTATAAAATACAGCATCAATGATGGAAAAAGATCCATTTTTATTTATTATGTGTTATAAAAATAAGAGATAAATATTTTAAAATAAAAGGAAAGGGGCAGCATCTTTTCATTTAATTGTAGAGGTGAGGTTGTGGACACATGCAGAGCTAAGTTAAGTGGTTCAATACTTCCCTCCTCTTGTTTATGGGAACTACTGTATTTTAGGTTTGTGACAGGGGGCAAGCTAGGGGCCGAGTCCCATGCCAGCCCGCCCACCTGCCTCTATGGGGCAATCCGCCCTGTCTCACCTGCCATGACTTTGGTGTTCCCATAAATGGACGGTAAATGTGGGAGGCTGCCTATTACATACCCTGATGCCAGGAGGCACTATCTCTAGCTCTGACCTCCCCTACACCACAGCTCATGCCTTTCAGATAGCAGCCACATTTACCAAAATAACTTTGTCTGCCTCTGTAAAAGATACGGCCTTAACAACAGATTTCTTGTGAGCTGCATAAAAAAAAAATCTTTGTATTTAGGATGCAGCAAAAACATCTGTATCAAGATTCCCTTTTTCTCTCTGTGGTCCACATCAAATTTCAAGATACGATACAGCAGTTTTATGCTGAATCAGAGCCCATATTGTATCTCAATACAGTTGAGTACGTAACCTTCAGAATCTTAAGTTACTTATTTGGTGCTCCTGACTTTTCACCTCGAAGTTTCCCTTCTGCAGACCAGACCAGTATGTAGAAAATGCTCTGTATAACATTAAACACCCACTAAACAGAATGAATTTGGGAGCAGAGGTTAGGGCCTCTATCCAACTTCCGTTAAAGCTGCCACTGAGGCCAAAGGGAGTCTTTTGCTGACTTCAATATAAGCAGGACTGGTTCCTGTGAGCTACTTTATCCTGAACTTATTTCATGGCAAAGATCAAAACTACGTGGTTTTTACGCTTACGTTTAAATAAATGAATTGTCATCATCAGCCATAAATCACCTATGCATTTCTACCCATATGCTATACATTCACCCCCATCAAGTACAGTGCTACCAATCGTGCTACTACCATGTCTTGCTGTTTCTACACCTTGGTCTCTTCACCCTGCTTCCGTTACACCTCTGTGGAACAACACTTAATGGCAGATCTATATCCACCATACCTGTATAACTGGTAGGAAAATGTGAAGGTCCCTTCATAGGTGGTAGAGAAGTGAGACCCTACACATCTTCTTTCATATAAATCCTATAGCCATTTATACCAAAGGCAACTACTTCTGAAATACTGCCATGCAACATCTGCTCATTTTTCATGCTAAAAATATTTTATGATTCACTATATTTAAAGCACATGCAAAGGCACTCTTCCTTAATGCTCCACAAATATTTTCACTCAGTGTTTACAATAAATAACTGCAAACTTGAAAGAGTTTTGTTTCTTCATCATGGCTTTTTCCTTCTACTACACATGCACATGGTTCGTCATTGCTGGACTGTTTGTTAATTATGGCCTGCTGGCATCAATTTTTTGTTTTTAAACAACACGGGCAAAGAATTTGTGAAAAGCACATGACAAGGAAAAAAACAGATCATATTTACACCTCCCCCATGATTCATTATCACCACATACACTACAACTTAAATATGGTTCCAAAGGAGAACTTGAAGGGGTTTCATGTTGTCATATAATAAGGGACAAAACTTGGCTGGCTTTTGCACAACCACACAGGGGAGGAAGAGGTTGAGGAGGTAAGGGTCTTCTTTGTGTTTCATCATCATTCCACATGTAGGAACAGTCACAGTCAATGTCCCTTTGCTCCACCCAGCACAATGCCTCCTGATATTTCTACCAAAGTGGTGCAGTTCCAAATTAAGAGCCATAACTTACCTAACAGCCCAGATTATATAGAAAAACCGTTAACTAACCTTAGCAAAAATCATGGTGAGGTACAGTTAGGATACTGTAAATCCATTATGTAATATGTAATAACGTTATCCAAAATCCATTATGTAATAATGTATAATAATCCCCATGGCCTTAAAATAATGTATTAAAGGAAACTGTTTAAAATTCCAAAATAATAAAATAACAGGTGCTTTCAGTAGTGACTAAGCTTACACATTACCCAGTCCTGCACACCTAGAAAGCTACTGGTGCTTAGCAGGAGTGGAGTGTAAAACCTCAAACCATTCCAAGTAGGTAAAACACTGAGCTGGTGGTGCTTTGGCATTCCCAAGGACCATGCATCATCACTCAAGTCCATCGGTTATATAAAAAGTGACTCCAGTAGTTACACAAGTAACCGAAGCTTTGCTATTAATGGACACTCTCTCACTTCTTTTGATTTAACTCACAGCTATTTGCAGGAAGCCTCTCCAGAAATAAGAATATTTTGTTTGCTTCAAGTGCAGGTTCTGAGGGCCAGGTCCAAGGCTGTAGCTGAGGGTCACACTGTGCAGGTTAGGAGTGAATGTAATGGGGCTGTGAAGCTTACCTGTGCCCTCCCCCAGTAATTGCTGTAGCAAGGAAAGTCTCCGGCAACTGGAAGGCAACAGAAAGAGATCAATCAGGCATAAATGGGGATCTAATCATACCCATTCCCTTTCCCTCCCCCTGTCCTGCCTCTGGCATAGGCTACAGGAGGGAGTGTAGGAGGTACTACTCTAGCATTATGTCACGATAGGACACATAAACAGTTGTGTGACCATCTCATAGCTGGATACTGTTTTTAAGAACTTTTTTGTGCCTACAGCATGATGTAAAGGAGTCACAATACAGCCTGAGTTCTGGCCTTAATGATTAAAGTCCCAGCTGTACAATCTTCTCTCACCTTTGGGAGCACTTACTACCTTCGGCTTCAGCTGGCCTGTTCTCATGAGTAAGCAGGTCCTAGGTTAGTATGGGTTGCACAACTATGGACTAAATTACAAGGAGAAAACAAATACGTTTATTTCACAATGACATACGTTAGTGTACAAATGCCTTCTAGTTTAGGTAGAAATCACTCCAGATCACTCCAGAAACATTAGAGAACTTACAGCCAAGAATGAAAGTAGTCCACCATCCCTGAAACAACGTTTAGGTTGTTATGTCCCAACTATTTGTCTCCTTCCCCTCCCAAATCAATGAGCGCCCTTCAAATGAAACCTATTCGTCTCTTTCCCCTCCCTGGACAGGGAAAACTTTTCCCTTTTTGGATTGGGCTGGACACATCCCTTGCTGAAATATTTAACCCAGTAGTTTTAGACCTTGTTCAATTACTGAAAAGAACATAATTCTGTCAAAATAAAACAAAGTTAAAATGTAACTTTTGTTCCATGGTGCCAGTTCCCATTGTCATACCAGCACACAAGGGTGAAGAAACACAGGAATCTCTGATAACAGAGATCTGTCAGGGACAGGACACAGCAGCCCCTTTAAACAGAGATGGCCGACTTCCTCTCCGACCTGGTGAGTACCCTGAGGTTCCTTATAGTACCTAGTGTTTTTAATACTATCAGCACTTCAAAAATGACAAAAATCAATATTTCAGTATGCAGAATCAATAAAAGTTAACGCTTACCAAAGCTTGACTTTGCAAGACATTTTGAAATCTTGTAGCTGTTTCCATTTTACTGGATGTGAAATTTCCTCTCTCACTTATTTTTTTATGATATTTTAATCAAAAGTCTGGAATTCTTATCAAAATGTCTTCCTTTACTGAAAATATCGTGGAGCTTCTTGGGTTCCTGTAAAATGCTGAAAAAAGTAAAATGCGCATGAAGTTGACAATGTGCCTGTAATAAATTTTCACTAAGACACCTTTAAAACTATTGTGTGTAATGCAATACGACCTCCTTCAGTAACATTTTTTCTGTTCTGCAGTTAGGATGGCTGAAAAAGCAAAAATGTATGCTTTTAGTGATGTTTTTAAACAGGAAAAGAGAAAGAGCTCTAGTACAAGAAAAACCCCTAGGTGTTCCTTGATAGCTAAGAAGAACTGGGAAACAAATGAGGGTTTGGCAGAGTATTGAATGTTTGTTCCTTAGCTCCTGGCAGGAGAGGAAATGCCCACAAAACAGTTGAAAGTACAATCCAGTGACAGAGAATAATAATAATGCCTCAAGAAATATAGATGACAACCATGCTGATGAATGGAAAAGAAACAGAGTGACTGAGTGCCCTAACTGAAATAGAAATGTATCACTAGAGGAGAGCCTCAGAAACTGATAGGTCATTGGTTCAAACTGACCTCAGAATTTTTTCCCACTAAAATATAGTCCCAGTGAAATTTATATTTTTCACTAAAAATCAGCTTTGTTTCATTAAAATATTAGTTAAATCAACTTAAAATATCATTTAATTTCAGTTTTCATAGTTTCATAGATTAGATTAAGGGTCGGAAGGGACCTAGTAGATCTTCTAGCCCAACCCCCCGCCAGGGCGGGAGAACAACAAAACCCCAAAACAAGAAAAAAACGGGGACTCAAATGAGTCCAGCCAGGTAGGCATCCAGCCTCTTCTTAAAGACCCCCAGGGTAGGGGCCAGCACCACTTCCCTTGGAAGTTGGTT